CACAGGAGTGGCCCTAGGACCGACCCCTGTGGGACTCCTACGTGGACTTCTCTGGGTTTGTCTCGCTCTACCTTTATCGTTCTGTTTCGCAAGTACGATTTCAATATGTTGACCAGGTATCCAGAAATGCCCATGCTGTTGACCTTCTCTATAATGAGCCCCCAGTCCGCAGAGTTGAAAGCATTCTCCACGTCCAATTTCACTAACACACACAACTTCTCTCTGCCTTCTGCTGCGAAGTGTTCCATCTGATCTAGTGCATGGATCGTTGACCGCCCCTCCCTGAAGCCGAACTGGTTTCCTGCCAATCCCCCTTTCTCCTCGTACAGTTTTCTATCGTGTTCAGCATACAGAGAGGCCTATATGACGAAGGCAGATTGGGATCCTTGCCTTTATTCGGAATCAGGACAATTCTTGCTATTTTCCACTGCTCGGGGAATGCCTGCTGGGTCAGGAGAGTGTTTAGCACGTCCGCAATTCACTCAGTCTCCACTTTATAGGCCTCTTTGATCGCCTCACTAGAAATTCCGTCCGGCCCTGGAGCCTTTCCCGTCTTCATGGTGTCCACTGCAGTTTCTATCAGGTTAATTTCATAGGGGGTTCTGTGTTGCAGGCCCAGGAGCGCTATTTTGTATCCACTTCCCCATATGTCGTTTTCCAGTTCATCGCACAGCTGGTTCCAGTGGTCCCGTTTAGACTTGTTGATTAGCCTTTTGAACTCTCGTCTGGCTTGCCGGTATTGTTCTTGTACCTCTCCCAGCCTGGCGGGGTTCCGTTCCTGTTTGGCAGACCTTGTGTATATTCTCCGGGCGATATTACAGCGCCTTCTCTGTTCTTCGATATCTACGTTCCACCAGTATGGGATTGGCCTATCCGGTGCTCTGCTCGTGATATTTGCCATGCGGTATGAATCCTTAAGTATTTCAAAGCTTTTATAGTGGGATGTTTTGCCTTGCTGGCTCATTTCTAGTACTCGCGCCCTGACTTGGTCTCGGTACCTCGGCCAATCGATGAGCTTTTTCTGTTTTCCACCTTTCCAGATTGGCTTCATCAGATTTTTCGTTTCTACCAGGATGTACTTGTGTAGCGACAGGTTCTCTTCCTGCAGTACGCTCCAGATGGAGATATCTTCCGCCATTTTTGAGGTCACGGCGGTGACATCAATGCATGTCTGGCTTGCTCCTCTGCAGAAAGTCGGCATTCCGTCGTTAAGGACGGTCATGTTCTTTGCCGCGAACCATTCTGTCCAGTGTTCCCCTCGAGCATCTTCTACAGTGGATCCCCATGCCGGTGATTTGGCGTTAAAATCTCCGAGGACCATTGCATTGTTTTTATAGTCAACCTCTCGCATAATCTCATCCACTTTCGCCTTGTACTCTATGATTCCTATATTCGGAGATATGTAACAGCAGACGAGAGTGCTCTTTTTGAAGTTGACGACTATATAGCCCTTCATTTCCTTGGTAGAAACTACTTCAAGAGTCCTGTTAAGTATCAGCATTGCAACATCCTGCCGTTTGTCCTGGATCCATGTTGTTCCCTTTATTTTTGCCTTGTTTGGTTCAGCCACTATCAGCAAGTCCAGTTGTTCTTTTTTGCACTTAGCGTAGGCCAGGTCGTGGGCCGCGCGTGGTCTTCCCAAGTTAGTTTGGAGAATCTTCACCATTTAGGATATTTTCGCTCCCGGTACTTTCCCGTCGTCCGGCACTCTACTGCAGCGAAACTATCCATTTATTCTCCTCCTTCCTGCATCTCGATAATTCTTTTCTAAAGATGCGGCACTTGCTAGTGCCCATTGTATGTTCTTCCTTGCACGCCGGGCACTTAGCCTATGCTGTGCAGTTTTTCTCTCTGTGACCTTCTTCACCGCAGTTCCTGCACAGGTTCAGTCGGTCGTGCCTACGTTTACAGTCACTCTTCACGTGCCCGTAGCCCCAGCATTTCATGCACTTCGTAAGGTCTACTCTCCTCTGGAGGTTGCACAGATTCATACCGATCCTCAACTCTCCTTTGATAAGTGTATCAACCTCCCTAGGCTGATACACTTAATTTTATGCAGAGCAATCCAGGAATCCTCGGCTGTTTCCTCCTTAAGCATTATCAACTTGTCCCACAATTCCCTTTCGGTTTGCCCCAGGTTGATTGTAATGAACTTTCTCATGGAAAGTACCTCATCTGTGCCCCTCTTTGTAGTGCTTTGCTGTAGCACTTCTGTGGTCTCCTGTGGTCTCCGATATTTCCGGGTGTCTGAGTAGGTACTTTGCCTGAATGCTTTTCGTCATGCCCGAGTCGGTTGCTTCCACCATCACTACCTTGACGGTGCTGTCTTGGTATTTAGGGGACTGCTCACCTTGGCTTCCGTCCTCTGGAACACATCCGGGTGCCATGTCTTGTCTGCTATCTGCAGCCAGTCGTCGTAGCTCGTAATTCCATCCAGGTTCTGTCTGGTATTTAAATCACTTTCATCCCATTGCGTGCTGGAGTCCGTTTGCTTTTTATTTTCCGTTTGGGTGCTGGCGTCTACTTTGAAGCCTTCTTTTGGTGGTTCCGTCTGGACATCTGCATCGTACGTCAGTTTTTCAGCCTTCTCCTATTTGTTACGTTCTAGCCACCCTTTGCTGGAGTCCCTATTTAGGGCTTCTATGTACCGATTTAGTTTGTTCCAAATCGTCTCAATATCCCTTTGGGTATTGGGGTTTGCATCGATTTTTGCCGTAAGTTCCTTGCCTTTAAGATGGACTGTATTGCCTCACACAAGACGAAGGCCTCAGGACTCTCTTTCCGTTTGTATGGTTCGTCCCCTTTGCCTATGGAGTCTCTGTCCTTCATTTTTCTCTTTGTAGTGTCGCCCGTCGAATTGCTTCTCTGTTTGGGGCTACTCACTTTAAGCTTGGTATGCTCCTTCTCTGCTCTTTTATTTATATAATCATCGTTCATTTTGTTCCCACGAGTCGCTAGGGAAAGTTCGGTCCGCCCCTGCATTGCGGGGTAAGGCTAAGTCCCCCCTGAGTCGCCATTTTCAGAGGGCATCGCTTGAGACACACCTAATCACCCCTGTGCCATGCACCCTTTCGGCGCGATGGTGCTACACCTTAAGATTAGGGGACGCGGTAGCCCCCTCCCACTATACCCCTGTGAAGGCAAGCAAGAGGGGCACTTGAAGAGAAGAGGATGCAGCCGCCTCCCCTGCATCCTGAAGAAGGAACGAAGTGACCCCTAGCCCTCGGATACCCTAATAGCGTCGGGGTCGGAAGAAACTTGGCCAAGGGAGGCCGATAGTAAAGAGAAGAAGATATCTTACCCAAGGGAGATAGAAGTAGGGTTCTCCTTGTGTAACATAATGTTACTTATCATATGGTGCACTCTGTTCCATTTTGTGCGGCTTTCTATTATGTATGCGATTACGTTTTCCTCATTTACCTCCACGTATTCCCTTGAGTGCTCCCATCTCCTACAGTAGAAGATGATATGGTTTGAGTCGTCTTCCACTCCGCAATAAATACATAAGGCGTTTTCCGGTTTCCCGATATGGTGGGTGTATGTCCTGTAAGAACCGTGCCTGGTTAGGAACTGTGTCATGTGGTAGTCCACCCTTTTATGTCTACATTCCATCCATACGCTTATATCAGGGATCAGTGGTTTCGTCCTTTGTGCCACAGCTATATTTGCCCTCCATCTATCTTGCCATTTTCCAAGTGTGTTCCTTTTCAGTTCTGCGTTCATTTCCCTGTTCCTGTTTTCGGTCATCTGGTATTGTTTATCCCTCTCTTCGATTTGGAGGTCAATCGGCGTCACTCCTGCAATTACGCAGAGTGCTTCAGTCGAGACAGTTCTATAGCACAAGTCACTCTTAATAGCATCTTCCATTATAGGCTGATCAGTTTCTGTCTGTACTTCTTAACCCTTAGTACTCTCCGCCATATCGTTGGATTCCGCTACTACCGATAGTAAACTTCTTTTCTAGTAGCCTGGTCCACCGATGTTTAGTGTGATCTTAGTGATTGCTGTCACTATTTCCTCGGCTTTTTCTATTGTCCTGTTAATGTGCTCGTTGAACAACAAACCGTGGTCTAGCCTCTTTTCCTCGTCCCTTTCAGTATGATACATTCAGTTTTGGTAGGTGACAAGGTTAAGTTGTTCCTTTTCATCCATTGGGAGATTTGATCTAGGGCTCCGTTAGTTTTGCGCACGAGGTCTGGTACTTTCTTGGCTTTCACAATTAGGGCCAAGTCATCCGCATATGCTATTGTGAAACACTCTGGTTGAAGTCTCACTCGCAGAACCCCATCGTACAGCACGTTCCATAGTAAGGGTCCCAGCACCGAACCCTTTGGTACACCGGCAGTTTGATTCATCGGATCCTTTTTCTTTACGTGAATTTTCCGTTCGGTCAGGTACTCTCCATGATGTTCACTAGCCAGTCGCTGATTCCTCCCATTTGCCTGAGTTTTCCAATGATAAGGCTGTGTGTGGCACAGTTGAAGACAATTTTGACATCCAACGTCACCATCGCACAGAGTGGGTATTCTGCTCCCTTTGCAACTTTCAGTACCTTCTCCTTCGCTAACTGTAAGTAGGAGATCCCCCCTTTTCGTGCTTTTAAGAGCCTTCATCTTTTTTCCCAGCTTCTTGATATCAACGGCCTCTTTAACTGACTTGAGTATGTTTTCTGGCCTTCTGCCCGGACCCTAATGGTTTTCTTCACCGTTTGGTTCGCCTGCATTCTGTGCCGCTTTTTTTCCTTTGGAACCATGCATTTAACCATTACGTCTGATTCTGTCAGCTTTCTATCGTAGCTCCTGTCTAGTCCTTCCGGTACGGAAAACGTTATATTTTTTCTTCCCTGATCCATGAGTACTCGTTTTAACTCCTGAAGAGCTTTGTATAGCTCTACTAGGTCGTTGATCCCTGTTGGTTATCAGAAACACCCCTCTACTGGTTTTGTATTTAGTGCTGTTCAGTAGGAACTCCACGGTACCGTCGACCGGTCTCGCTTGTAGGAGTTGTCTCAGCTCTGGAAATATGTCGCTCATTTTCCGCATTAGTCCCTTATCCCCATTATCCTGACGGTCAGTAACCACGGCAATATCCCAGCCATCTCCATCTCTGATTGTGCTTCCCATCTCCTCCGTCGTGCTGGTGTATACTTCTTCCGGCCACTCCTTGTCAAGCCAATCCGCCAGATCGTCGAATGTGATGCCACACTGTAAGGATTTTTCGATCTCTGCTCTCATCCGTTCCCTCTTCACTCTCTCCTTTTACCCTTCTTCCCGAATTATTTCCTCGCCAGTAGTTGGCGTCCCTGAATTTACCATTATACTATTTATGGTCTGTGTGGCAGCTTCTTTGGTTCTTTGGTTTGCGTCCCTGAATTCACCATTATACTATTTATGATCCGTGTGGCAGCTTCTTTGGTTCTTCTCCTACTCTCTTTCTTCTACTTCTTTTCTTTTTGAGTGTTTTGTAACACCCACATACGTTTCTCTATCTCCTTCTTTGTTGCTTCTTCTTCCTTAAGAACACTCTGGAATAGTCCATTCATTTCTCTAATGCCTCTCTTTATCTCCGCTTTCGTGTTTGGTCATAGCGCTTCGTATTTCAGCTTTTCTTCCATTTTATCGCTTACTTTTTTCAAGCTCTTCTCCAGCTTCTCGTACATTTGGGCCATTTCTTCCTTGGTTGATGTTTCCACTCTTTTCCTTTTGTTATGTTCACTTCTCGGGGCTGGTGAGCCTCTAGACGTTATTACATTTGTTGCGGTTTTTTTTGTTCACGAAACTTTGACTCATGTCCAGTTCTTCAAAATTGACGAAATCCGCGAGGTCCCAGATCCAACCTAACCAATCTCAACCTAACCTAACCTAACCTAACCTAACTCAACCTAACCTTTTTTTTGGGCCGCTTCCTGTGCTGTTCCCTGGAACCGTCGTTAGACATTACATCAGGGACAGCTGGCATTTGGCTAGAAGGGGAAACCTTCATGGAATCGTGTGTTAGGTTCTTCCCTCACACGACGTTCCGGGGACTCCAAAACAAGTTTGTATACCCCGGCAAAACCCCTTCTGTCCTTGTCCATCTCACTAAAACCCCTCTCTCTCCTGTCAATTTCTTCTTCCTTTTCCAATTTCTTGGGCTCCTAGTTTTCTAGTTTTCTTCTTCTTCTAGTTTTGTTCTTCTTCATATCTCTCTTCCTCTCCCTTATTTCTCATGACCTCTCTTATGAAGGAGTATATTTTGCCCCATTCATCCCTATTATCCATCATCTGTTCGATAACGTTGTTTGCGGACAGAACATTTCCGATCTCCATATTCTGTCCGCAGACACTCAACCTAACCTAACTCAACTTTTTTTTTGTAGGGTGGAAACCCTCATGGACACTGGCCGCTTGGGGTCTATCACGTGCCAGTAGTGTCGGACTTCTACCGACTAAAACCACCCCGGTTTACTCCATCTCAGATCGGAATCGCTCAGGATAAGCTTACTTCAGTCAGCGGTGTGCGTTCTTTATGTCCGTTCCATTAATCCATCTTCTCTCATCTCTCTCCTTGATTTCCATTATAGTCTGGAGTAGCTTCTCGCCGGTCTTCTATTTCGAGGGGGATTCTATCATGAGTTTAATTATATTAGCCGTTTCTAGAGCGTCCCATGTCCCAGTTGTTTCCATC